CTTCAGGGAGGCCCCCTGGCCCCTACACTCCACGGGTGAGTAAAAGAAAGGGAGGTGTCCAGGTGAGCTCTGAGGGTTCCAGAGGGATGCACCACCCCTCAGAAAGCCTCCTGAAATGCAAAGATGTGGGACATTTAAAGGCCCAAGGCAGATGCACTCTCACTTCACTTGTAGTCATTTCTGTGTAGAGATAACCCCAAATTGGCCAAGTCAACCTGGCCACCTGCATGGGCTGGGCCCAGAGGACAGGTAAAGGGAGGCGGGTAGGTTGAGCTGACTGGAGTGAGGGCACCGCACAACTCTGGTCCATGTCTCAAGGTCAGCATCTGTGTGAGTCCAGAACAGGGACCCAAGGTGCCCCTGGTGGCAGCTGTGTGGACTCAGCTGAGGTACACAGGAAGAAACAGCAGCACCCCTCCCACGCGTGCGGAGCCCACCAATCCCTACTATAAAGTGACTGGGAATGTCACAGGGAAGGGAGCAACCCCCAGGCCGCCACACTAGAGGGGGCTGCTGAAAGGAAAGAGTTCTCTATGCCACAGTAGGTTTCAAATTTAGAAGGGATGTCTCTGGGTCCCCAAGACCTAGAGGATCTTACCTATAGGTCTCCAGTTACTAAAATGAAGCCAACAGCAGGAACTATTCCAAGGGTGGGAGCGTGTAAGCTGGAGAAATAGCTACGAGGACCCTAATGCCAAGGGTCCTTGAGGAATCCATGCACTAAAGGGAAAAAATACAAGGCGGTGTCTGAGCCAAGTTGTGCAAACACATAGAGCCTGGCTGATCTCAGTTTACACTGGCTTCATTCCCAGGTGGCAGGGCTGCTCAGAGGTCAAGAAGGGCCAGATATTTCCCCAAAATTCCAAAACAGATTTATCAGAACTTTGGTTTGNAGGCCCAGATATTTCCCCAAAATTCCAAAACAGATTTATCAGAACTTTGGTTTGTTTTCATTTCTTTGACACCCGCAAGAGAACACCCTCACGCATAGAGAGATGATGTGATGCTGTGCTCCAGGTACCTGCAGGGTATCTGCTTTATAGACGAATCCCTGCGCACTCGGGGCAGGGGAGCAGGTGATGGATGCGGGTTTGAATTTGGAGCTTGACCATCCTCTGATGCTGTCAGGGCATCTCTGTGTTTTTATACACAGGAACATGAACAGGCTGAAGGCAACTCTTGACCATTCGTGAGCCCTCAGTGGTGGGAGTGGGCAGGAGGAGCTGGACAAACTGCTTGCTTCCGATAATCCCATTGCCCACCCCACACTGAGCAATGTCGTAAACTAGGAGGGTTCTGACTGAGGGGTCGAGAATGTGTCGGAGGCAAACAGAGTTCATTATTAACCTTGTAAATGTGTTCCACGCGATCCGGCATTTACTATTACCAAATTGGCTGATGTGGTAATCATCAGTTCTGTTAGTAAACCTGCAGACCAAGTCTTTTTCAGGCTGTCTTTAGAATTTTTTAATACTTCCCAGTTTGCCAAGCTGTTCTGTTACGGCTAGAATATACCAGGGAAATGCTGGGTCTAGATGAGATACTGAGGTGGGACGCTCTGGACACCTACAAGGTGGCATTGAGGGCCCCATGGACACCAGAATCAGAGCTGGATTCAGTCCCAACTCTGCCACCTACCAGCTGCACGCCTAAGTGGTCCCTATTATTTCCACAGCCTCACTCTCAATTCGCTCTCCCTTATATAGTTCATGTCTGAACTTCAAGCTTAATTGTGAATAAGAGTTCCTGGAATCTGCTTATTGTGGAGTTTCAGCTCATTTGGAGGCACAAACTTGAAACCATTTTGGTCATTCTGACCACTGTTCCCATCACTTGATAACATCTCAAGCAGACTGGTTCATCCCTGAAAACGTCACAGTTAATAAACAATCAGCTTACTTTGGAATGTTGATCTCAAGTCCAAACAAAGCTCTTCCCCTCCCCCATCAGAGGAGGAGAGGTGAGGAGGCGAGTGGCATACACTCCACCCTCCTACTCCCCTCCGGTCTCAGTCCCCCAGGGCAGAGGAGGAAAGGGGCCTGGGCCAGCTCTGGACCCCTCCTGGCCTCTCTCTCTCTGGTCAAGCTCTTCTGAGGTTATCTGAGGTGGGAGGTGTCTTGCTTGGTCTGGTGACTTAGACCCACTGCCAGGTGGCCTCTTCCAGACAGGATGAGGGTTTCCTTGGACAGGCCTTGAACTTCCCTGGGGCACCCTCGGAGAGTGGCACCTGCGTCTTCCTTGGACTGCCAGCGGGCCAAGCCTCCATCCCCCTCTGGGTGGGACAAAGGTACTGTTTGTTATACGGTGAGCATTTTCTTTTTCTTTCTTTTTTTTTGATTGAGATCATTTAAATTTATTATACTTATAACCATGAATGAAAAAATGCATAGCTATTTAACATTTTACACGTTAAGCCCATACACTTAAACATTTTACCTGACCAGCTAATACACATCTATCCTTTAAACAGAAGCACTGGGGGGCGGGGGGGACATATTCGCACCTTGGAAATTTTATGTTTTTAAAGTTTTGCTTAGAAAGTCCTCTTTTCAAGTGTATATGTGACTGTCTTCTGAAAACTAATGTTTACATCTAAGTATTTTACAATATGTTTGCCCAAATTAAGGCTGCAAGGTAAAAGCTGATTTTGAGAAGATGCAGATTCCAATTTGATTGCTTTGTCCTCGACAGCCCTCTCCCCTCCTCCTTTTTATTTATAGTTATAAAATTTTTATTTTTCAAGCACAGTTTATAGTCAATATTATTTCATATTAGTTTCAGAGGTACAGCATAGTGGTTTAGCAGTCATCTACTTTACAAAGGGGCCCCCTGGTATGTTAAGTGCCCACCTGGCACGGCCCATCGTTATTACAGTATCACTGACTGTATTCCCTGCGCTGTACTGTACATCAGTCCTGCCAGTTTGCCTCTGCGATCGTGGTCTAACCCCGGGGTAGATGGTGTCAAAAGCCTAATTGGAGGCCCTTTGGGAGAGAGGAGTCTGAGCCAGTGGCCCGTGCATCGCCCCCAACCCCGCCACTGGGTGGTGAGCTCTGCTCCGCACACACCTGTCAGCTTCCCGGCCCCCAGCCCTCCCCGATCCCCTTCTGCCTCACGGTGAAGGGCAGGCGCCCAGAGGCCGCTTTCATAGTCTAGGGTTAGGTGTTTTTCCATCCAGGCTTTCCTGGTCACAGACACTTTTCTAATGAAGGCTACTCCAGGAAGCCTTTGTAACCAGCAACAAATAGCTCCTGCCTTTGAGGGCAATTGTGGGGACTTAATGGGATTCTAGGAAGCAACTGGCCCAGGTGTTCACTTTGGTTGGCTCCAGGGCTGCTGGTTACAGTTACGCAAGCTGCACGCTGTATAGCTCTGGGATCATTTCACCCTTCAGTCTAATCTTATTACAATTTTCTGGCTGAGGCGAGTCAAGTGTCAACACAGAGGCTCCCTGCAGAGTTGGTGCCACCCTGGCAGATGCCAAACCCTCCCTTCTCAGAACGTCAGGCCAGCGCCTACTTTGCTGCAAGAATCCTAGAAGCTGGAAACCAAGGGCTCAGTACCCACAGTCCCTCCACCAGGCTTACCCACATCTTGTTCCCATACCTTGGTGACCTCACATCCTGCCTCAGTCTTTCTAGTGCCTTGGGCTGGAACTTCTGTCAGGGCTGGAGGGACATCCAAAGACCCTCAGACCAGGCCACTGTGCCAAGGGGGGAAGAGGGTAGAGAGAAAGTCCCAGGGAGCCTGGAGTCAGCTTTGGGCTCTGTCTTTTCAGGTGCTAGTCTAGGGTCGTTCAAAGGAAGTTCGGAAGAAGTAGCACGTGGATACGTAATGACTGGCAGAATCTAGCAACATAATGATGGAAAACAGAAAATAATTTTTGAAACATGATGTGTGACATTAATGTAATATATAATTTACAATCACTGTCATTTTAACAAATGCTCTCTGAACCCATAACCCTAAAGATTTTATATATATATATGTGTATATATATATATATTTAAGTAAATCATACTAATTCTACTCTGAATTTCCTTGATAGAAATACTAAAATACTGGCTTCTTTGGACGTAAGTTAAGGTTTCGAGTTTGTTGCTTGTGTGGCAGAGGTGCTTATAACTTAAAGAGAGAGAGACCTAAAATTATTATAGCTATTAATTTACATGTGGTCTTTGCTGCAAAGCTGAGATGCAGCCAGATTTTTTTCTATTTGAAGTACATTTGATGAAAAGAATTCTATAATTAGAGAATACAGTTGACCCTAAATGATGGGGGGGTTAGGAGTGCCAACCGCCCACAAAGTCGAAGATCGCGGACAACTGTATTAATGAGTAGAAAGGCTTACTGACTTCAGATCAACTCCATGGTTAGTCAGGGCCACCTGCTGGCTGCACAGGGTACTGCAGCTCAGCTATATTTCAGACTGAGCGGTGACTTTGTCATCAGGAAAAACCCTAGGAGGGGAGAAGCTCCTGTGGTCGAGGAAAAGATAAAAAGTTCGTATAGACTGACAGTGGACAAACAATGCCACAGACAAGAAGGTGCCACAGAGATTCCAAGCTCTTAGAACTAAAATAAAACTGCCTCATCTTATCTTTCGGGGACTACAGTTTCCATAAGAAAAATATCAATTATGTATTAAAACACTAGGTATGTAAGGTAATTACGCCTTTTTTGTACTAATTTTCAATGTATTCTTTCAGGAGATTCCCTTCACCCCTATCAGAATAGTCAACAGTTTTATAACGGGATGGAAAAGGGTCACTTTCAAAAAAATTCATTTTAGTTGGCTGTCAGAACACAACTCTCCTCCTAACGGAAAGAAATCCTTCAATTAGATCAACTTTATCATCACACTCCTTTTATTCTCAACTCTATGATACCCCCATACCATTTTAACCACTGCAATTTCTTCACTTCTTCCTCTTTGTTATTTTCTACCAAAATAAAGGTCTATGGGAGGTAGAAAAACCCAGCAAAAGAAGAGGACACTCTGGAGCATACAGGCAGTTTTATTGAGTTAGTGGCATGAGGGGGAGTCCTTCCCGTGAGCAGCAAGAGCAGGCATTAGAGGGCCGGACCTGGGATCCGGAGGGAGGAGGGCTGGGTGGGTCAGGAGGGCCTGAGGCCAGGGCCTGGTGACTTGGTGATATGCAGAGCTCTCCTCTAAGGGGTCTGTGGCTCGTCTCAAGGGCAACTGGATTCAGACTCAGACACCCCCATACTTGGAAAAGCAACATTCACATTTCACTTCTCCCTGAAAAAAAAAAGTCGGGGTGGGAGGTGGGGAGGGAGAGAAGGTGAGGGCTCCACCAACACTCAAATTCTTATCAACCAAGAAAGAACATCCTCCAAAGGAAAACTGAAAGTCCCAGTGGCTTCCTGGCTTTGTGTCTGGGCTCTGGCAGTCGTTCACAGGCTGGGTACTCGCCCCCCCCC